ATACCATGAACAATGTTTTTTATAAAAATTACGTTGCAAAATATCAATGAAAAAAATCACACGAAATATACTCGGAAATGAAAAAGCAAAACCAAAGCATTTTTCAAACCGTCCAATTTAAGTTGCTCGATTGAATTTCACACTTGATTTGGAAGAAGCCAAATCGTTCCGGTATTCGAATTCAGAACACATCTGTCAAATAATGGCGGGAAAACAGAACGGTGTTGCAGGCCTCAGTGAAGGGTCGCCATGTGTCAAACGGGAAATAGTTATTTATGGGCGCCATTCACAAATTGCATTCATGGCCGAATTGATATATCGGTATGTTTTATATGTAAATGTGATCTAGGATGAATGTCCTGCCCCACAAACGGATATCAAATGATTTAGATAAGATTTACCTTTTGTTTAAGTTCTATCATAATATTAAAATCAAATAAGTACATGAATGATTGCATAAATGTTACACATTATTTTAGATAATTATACGACGGTGAGTGTACGACCAACCAGGCTCCAAAAGATAAACCACTCCTTATATGGAAATTGTATTCGTTTTTACAACAAACTCCCAAGTCCCAAGCGAAATTAGAGAATTATCACTAAACAAATTCAAAGCCCTCGTTAAACGAAAATTAGTCAATACAGCTTTTTATAAATTTGAGGAATACTTAAATGATCCTAATCCTTGGGATTGATTTGCTCCAGTTCAAACAATTTGTATGACAATACTTGGCGATTAAAAAGAGTGGCGGAAAGTTTCTTGCCAGTTCTTGTTACCCACTCTACGCCCTTGACTTGCGAACTGGTAGTAAATGTAAATTTACAATTAATTTAACTTCTTTCTGACAATTCATAAGTGTAATTGTTTACCTACATGAATAAACATATTTTGAGTTTTGAGTTTGAGTTATAACCTTATCGAGTAAAACATACAACCTGCGACGATAAATAAACTGAAATACTAAGTTCATACTTTAGTACTTATTTTTTAGTAAGAAAAATATAAGCAGCAGCAGTTAAACAATGTATTTATTGTATTATGCGGAATTGTCAACATTATAATAAATCGGTGAACAAAATAGATTCCAAAGTTATAAACAATGAGAAACATACATTGGTCACGTTTATCGTATAAATCAAACAAGTTCAGTAAATCATAGCAGTAAACTGCTCAAGAGGTCACTGTGGTCGCTAAACACGATTTTAGAAATGTTTGAAATTATGTATAATATTTAAGAAAGTCAATTTTGGCTTTGTCTACCAAAGCATATTCTTAAAATATAGGCTTCTTAACATCTTCTCTAATTGCTACATTTAAATTGTGAAGTAATATTATTATAATATTAAATACAAGAAGCTGTTAATAATTTAATATTATTTAGTACGTACTTTTCATTTATAATTCTCAAAACTCAGAGAGAGTTTAGTGCACTTTGTATGACTGGAATTGAGTAATAACAATATTAGTATAATGATGATAATAATAATAAATATGTATATTAAAATTATTTTTAAAGTTATACTTCTTTAGGCGCGTTATGAAAAATTGATGAGAGTGAAATTTTACGATGCGCGCGCACCGTGACACAAAATTAACAGAATGAAGTTGCCCACGGAAGATGCTACGGCATTGGATATAATTTACAAACAACATTCGAATAATAATAGAATTTATGTTACACTTAATGTAAGAGAATAATAATAAATATTTATTTATTGAAGTGAAACTTCTTTATCGAGGTTGGAAAAAAATTTAGTGTAACATTTTTTTGTTACGCGTCACATTTTTCGGTTACGCGCCATGTTGCTTTTTGAAGTCAAACTTCTTTATCGGCGTTGGAATGAAACTTCTTTATCGACGTATGGGAGAAATTTTGTAGCAAATCGTCACGTTTTTGAATGATAGTAATAATTCTATTACAATTAATGAAATTCTATAATAATATTCGTAGTAATAAGGTAAAATGAAATATTTGTATTCATGTCTATGATAATAAAAGCCTTTTGTTAAACTTTATCTAATTTAACGAATTTCTGTAAAGTTGCGTATAGTAGATCATTTTTCGAAAAATAAGATCATAAAGAAGTTTCACTTCTTACGTGTGTACACCTAGTATAAATAAAGACTAGAAAAGGAGTCATTATAGTATTTATTTAATTCTATAATGACTCCTTTTCTAGTCTTTGATTATTTAATTGTAATTAATTATTTGAATTCAATCAAAAACTATTTTTAATAATGCCAAAGAAGTATAGTTATACTAAGAAGTTTCTTACGCGCGTACATAAGTATAACTTCAAAAAGGGTGCGTGCCTTTTTGAAGTTATACCGAAATAATATGTCGTTCTCACTTGCAACTAATTTTTAGCGCAGCTATTCACCCAGAGATGGTGTTGTTAGTAATTAGTATGGTACGTACGCTACGTACCGTTTAAGATCCTTCTTGCAGAAAAAGATTTATTTATACAAATAGGAAATACTGATCAAAGAACGGTGTGGATCATATTTGTACCAAAATGAAGTAAAGGGTCTTTAAGTTTAAACAATAAAAATAAATTGTGCGTGTACTAGGTGTACACACGTAAGAAGTGAAACTTCTTTATGATCTTATTTTTCGAAAAATGATCTACTATATGCAACTTTACAGAAATTCGTTAAATTAGATAAAGTTTAACAAAAGGCTTTTATTATCATAGACATGAATACAAATATTTAATTTTACCTTATTACTACGAAGATTATTATAGAATTTCATTAATTGTAATAGAATTATTACTATCATTGAAAAACGTGACGATTTGCTACAAAATTACTCCCATACGTCGATAAAGAAGTTTCATTCCAACGCCGATAAAGAAGTTTGACTTCAAAAAGCAACATGGCGCGTAACCGAAAAATGTGACGCGTAACGAAAAAATGTTACACTAAATTTTTTTCACTTCAATAAAAATAATTATTGTCACAAATTATTTCGTTAGTTTTGAAGTTTAAAAAATCAAAAGACGAAAAATAATTATTGGCACTAATTTTCAGTCTCGTTTCACGTAAGAGTTGTATTAAAATAAAATGAATCGATAAGTAAAAAAGCTAAACGACAACGTAAAAGTATTGTCACAAAATCTTCAAAAATTTTACATTTGACTAGAATAATTATTACCAAAATTTTCAGGTAAGCAGTTTAAAAATAATAATTTTAGTAATCTCTTTCCTAAAATACGCGTTCGTGTTTTCCTTCCCATATTTCCCGTTTTGGAATATAATCTTTTAGATGGAGCAGAAGTGGCCATTTAAATAAAAATTAACACTAACAGCCTGGCCACGGGACATCGCCGACGCGAAATTCGCGCGGGCGAACCGCGATGCGTCTAGCGACTGAAATAAACTCATAGCAATGTACTAATCAAGCCACGCGCAACGGCACCAGGATGCGACCGGCGAAATGTACCGAGCGAATCGCGCGGGCGACTGACGTCGCGACGGGCGAGCGAAACAAATGCATGAACAGTACGGTGCAAGCCACGGAGTCGAGCGGCGTCGCGGCGAATAGAGAAGGGAATAAATAAGTTTAGTCGTGGTCGCGGCGAAAAATGAATACAGAGTTTTTTGTTACTGAAATACTGGCTAGACCAGCTATTTGGAGTCTGGCCATCCACAGCATTAATTTAATATACCTTAATCTCAAAAACAATTTTTCAGCGGAACTTAAAATTCTATTTGCATTAACTTTTTTCTCCAATTCTGGTTGAATATTCATAAGAATATAATTGAAGGTTTCAATACTCATTCTGGTATACTCAAAAAAATAATTCTGGATATATTCTGAATTTCTCATACTTCTTGTGGAATTCTCCACAATTTCTCCAAATATTAGGTCTTGCACCAAAAGCTATTACTTTCCAAGCAATATCGAGATGATTTCGATAAAGACATTTCGCTGTCGAACTTCCTTACTGGTCGCGGCGGCAAACGTGACTGGTCCGTGGCCTGCAAACGGCCCCGCGGGGGGGGGGGCCTCCCCCCCCCCGGCGGGGGGCGCGCCCCGGGCCCCCGGGGGGGGGCGGGAAATTGTAATAATAATATTACAATTAGTCACTGGATCTGTGGCTGTCATTATGGCATATTCAATTTGAATCATATGAGGAACCGATTTATAAAATATGACAAAGTATTATATAGCGCAGTGCCAGAGATGCCAACTTAGCGCAGTGCCAGAGATGCCAACTTGGGGGTTTTCCCCCCAAATTTAGGGGGAAACAAGATGTCAAGATGTGATGGGGTTTTTTTTAGGGGATACATTTATTTAGGTGAATTTTTTAGGGGGTACCTTCATTCCAGATTTTTTTTCTCTACAAACACGATTTTATACAATTTATATTAAGCTTCGAACGCAATCAACAAACTAAACCAAATATAAACTCCAAGCCTGGCTACAGCTTAAATAACGAAAAACAATAATTTAATCCGAACGAATAATAGCGAAATAATGTATGAAAAGAAAATGACGAAAACGCCAAAAATTGTCTGCCAAGGAACGTTAAGAAAAACTGAATTCGAAGAAAGAAAAGTTAAGAAATATAAAATAAGAATCGTTTCATCTCATTGTTATTATCATTAATATTATTCGGTCATTGATTAATATATATAAATATGTAAAATGTACTCACATAAATACAACAGCTATCTTTTACTACTTTAACGTATTTTTAATTCATATTTGAAATTACCTCTCAAACCAAGTGTACAACAAAAACTTTAGGCATTTTTGATAGACATTTAGGGGTATTTGAAATTGGTCCTAGGGGGAACATTTTGTAGGAGTTGGCATCACTGCAGTGCACATTGCACAAAGCACATAGTAACCTGAAGGCTGAAACCGGCTAAAGTGAATCTGAATTCTGACCAATCTAAGTAAACTAGTGCGTCAAATACAGATCTTTACTTTAGTGAGTCATATTACCTTCGTTTGTTTTCATCAATTTATTCTGATTAACAAAACATGGATTTTACCGATAAAGTTGTACTAATTACTGGAGCCAGTTCAGGGCTAGGTGCTTCTATTGCTATTCATCTATCAAAATTATCCGCAAAGTTAGTGCTAGTTGGAAGAAAAGAGATCAATTTAAAAAAGATTGCGCAATACTGTGAAAAACCAAAAGGAATAAAACCACATACTATTGTAGCTGATGTATCAGATGAAGGTAATTTAGAAAGAATCTTAAATGAAACAATTGAGGAATTCGGCAAATTAGATGTCTTAGTGAACAATGCCGGAGTTTTAGCCATGGGAGGAATTAAGAAAACAGACATGGAAAGTTTTGACAGAGTTATGTCTATTAACACTCGTGCTGTGTTTCAGCTAACTATGCTGGCTACACCGCATTTAATTGCTAGTAAAGGATGCATTATTAACATGTCTAGTATTGTAAGTACCAGGCCGAATACAATAATGCTTGCATACAATATGTCTAAGGCAGCCATAGATCAATTCACAAAATGTGTTGCTTTAGAATTAGCACCAGATGGGGTAAGGGTTAACTCTGTCAACCCTGGCTTTGTTAAGACAAATCTTATAAAAGATAGTGGTCTGACAGAAGATCAAGTTGATATGGTTTCTAAGAATATGGCACAGAGTAACCCCCTGAAAAAAATAGTTGAGGCTGACGAAGTAGCAGCATTAGTGGCATTTCTTGCAAGCGATCAAGCTAAGAGCATCACGGGATGTTGTTATCCAATAGATAGTGGAAAATTGTTAGTGTAGAAATATTTAGACCACTTTATAGTGACAAATATTATGTAGTCACATTAATGGATATTAAATAATAAATTATAATCTTTGTTGTAAAATTCCTATTATATTTTTGAAGGACAAATAGATACCTAAAATTATTTTATTTAAATATGTAAAAAATAAACATATAATTGTTTACTTATTTTTTTATTTCCTACTCTTGTGTTCTATTATCAAATATCTTTTCTTCATGAAAAATAATTTGATCTATATCCATTACATCAAATGAAATTTATAACTATGAAAAGGGTTAGCTTCTTGATACTTATAATTCCATAGACATGAAAGAAAAAATAAACCTGTTAATTATCCTTGGACCTTCAAATTGTGCTTTGTTTTTAGAAGCATATTTATTGTATGTACTTTTTGCCACCTTGATACAAAAGCGCACGAATATAATAAATGAATAGGGTTCCGTTTGTCATCAAACTGTTTTCTGAAAGCGTCGCGATTTCAAATTGCTAATTAAGAAATCGAGACCAAATAGACAATAGAGTTAATATTAGTTCAAAGTTTACGACTTGGTCAACAACGGGGATGTAGCTCAGTGGTAGAGCGTTCGCTTTGCATGTGAAAGGCCCCGGGTTCGATCCCCGGCATCTCCATGTTTTTTTTTTTTAAATAAAACACTGCATTTTTCGTTTCCACTTTCATATAATTTCATAAAATCAGATCAAAATTAGACAAGACACTTAAGATAATTTTCTTAACCAAATCAATGGTTATTTTGTTCAACTTTAATCAAATAAATCCTTAACAATGGTAAATGTAACCAAACAAATGCCACAGAAATGTAGGAATGTCATAAATACAAAACGAAGTTAAAGATGTGTAAGAGACAAAATTTAATAACAATACAAGTTAAACACTAAAAAAAATAGTAAGTAACTGCCAGCCGAAAATTATTTCGTGATAATTTGAATTTTTCAAGCACGATTAATGCGAGATTTATTTGACTGCCAGTTTCTTGCCAAATTACCCAGAAGATTGTTTTTTTTCAAAAATAGTTTATATGAAATCCATTTAAAATTAAGTAATAGTTTAGTAATAAATTTCTTCAGAATTTCATACGTATATACTCCGACGTTTCTCCCTAAAACAAAGTACACTAGCAACACTAGGTGTATCTTGAACACAATGTTATTAAACCAAATCAATTTTCGTTGCTGATTTTTTACCCCCAAATTGTTGGATTCCAGAGGAAAACAGTATATGTATATTGTATATATTTAAATACTTTAATATTGTTCATTTCCATGACTAGGGCGATTTTAAAATAATTGCTACTATAAATAATTCCATCAACTTATGTGGGCCTTATGAAAGGTTTAGTTTTAGACTATTAAATTTTTAAAGCAATGAAAATTGATTTAATGAATTTATATCTAACGACATTCCAATTTACAAATTGTCAAAACTCAGCGATTTGATTTTGCTTTTTTTACTCTTTAAATCGCATTTAGCTTAATTTTGTCTCATAACAATGAATTTTCAATTTTTTTTTGCACTCAGGAATGTCAATTATTGTATAAGGTAGGGTATTTTCACAACAAACAATTTATAAGCTCTTAGCTAACTTGAACTAGAACTCAAGACCAAGTATTTATCGACTTTTTAAAATATTGTCTAAATTCGTCGTGTATTCTAGTCCAAAAATATACAATAGTCAACATATCAAGACAATATTTTTATTATCTTATTTATTTTTAGAAACTGTATATCCTATGTATTATTAGTAAATTATTGACATTTAAATTGTATGTTTCAAGCAAAGTTTTACTGTAGAATGTGATCGACCAAACAAACCAAAATTTATGTATTCCAAGGCAATGTTGACATTTTTCGTTCGGTTTTTAATAATACTAAAAAAGTACAATTTTGGAAAGTCGACACCGTTTAGTTCCATTCACTGTCGCATGTGAGTGTTATGTAAAATATAAAATTAAAGTAAATTATATATAATTCTAACAGTGTGTAAATATTTGTAGTGACTAATGAAATTAAACAAATCAATTTGAAACCGGTCAAATTTGAAAGGATTTGATCTTTGGTTTGTATGGTCAAGTAACTTGAATTTACAAACGCGTACAGGAGAACAGTATTAATATTGTTTCAACTCCTCGCTGGCGTCGTCTATGTGGCACTTGTTCATGTTGAGATCGATGTGGGGGGGGCTAGGCTCGCGGCTCGAGTGCGGGCGGGGCTCGGGGGGCGAGTGAGTCGCCGCAGGGCCGGGTGACGGGCGAACTGGTGTGCGCCGGGACTGACGCTGACGGAATTGAACAGACCGCCGGAACTGCAGGGACTGCCGGAACTGTGGTCGAGGACACTGACGGGAGCATTGCTGCGGAGCCGCGCCCCGACGGAACGGACGGAACTGAAGGCCGCTCGGAGGGCGCGGGAGACGGCGCATCGACATCATTCTGCAATCCAACGCGCTCAGCTCAGCCGCCGGCCACTACAACACGGGGCCAGGCGCAAGGGAAGGGACGGGAAGGGAGGGCACCGTTACTTATCGCTTCACTACCGCCTTAACAACCCTGAGACTGCTTTTTACTCAAAATTTATTCATTTTTTATTTATTTATTATATTTGTCTTGTTATATAGTATCGAAAAAAATAATGAGATTGAAATATATATTAAGAATATCACTATTTCTTGTAAAACGATTTTTCAGACAGTCAAAGGTTATCAAAGCGACACTCGGCTAAATGGTGAAAACTATTGTAATAAACAACATTCTCTGGGAGAATGCAAATTCTATTGATACTATTTTAGTGTAATGTGTTCTAGGGTGCTGTGCAATGGGGAATGATGAAATGTAGCTAAAATTAAAACTAAACATTTAAGATGCTATCATGGTAGTGGCTGCAATTAAGACAATGGATTTTACAAAAGTACTGTGGTCTGCACTTAACACTAATGCATTGTTACCCTGTGATTGTACAATGAAAGCATAAGTGATTTGCAAGCAGTTATAATAAGCACACAATATATAGGAATAATAATATTTTTTGGCTGAAAGTAAAACTTCATATATTTTATATCTTTATTTTGATTGAAATAAAGGACGTCCAAAAAACAAGTATAGGTATAAAAAAACTACCATTTAACGGCTCTACTGAAAAATTTGAATGCAATTAACAAATGGAAAATGTTGGCGATAATGAAACTGTATACAAATGGTTACCTACACTAGTATATCAGCGGTGTAGCGTTTAAGAACATACACACATTAAATACATATACATAGGATTACAAAAACTATACATAATATAAAAAAAACATATTTGGTCATCGGAAACATTTCTAACATATATTACCTTCGAATGACGATGCAGATAACAAAAGAGTAATTTCACATATTTTGTCTATCTCCCAAAATCTGGCTGACTAAAAACAATCACAACAATTTAGCGACTACAATATTTACCTACTATTCTTCATTATATAATCTACAATGTATAATAAAAATACTTTTAATATAGTTCTATAATACTTCACTTTTAAAATAATCTAGACATTTAAGACTAACAATATTATTTCACTAATCTATTAATTTGTTTTGTTGAAGGAAGTTGCTAGAGTTTAACATTTTACACTATATAACTACAGTATTATCACAAATAGACGGTTTAAAGTTATCGCTGAACTATCTTTTAGCGACAAGATACTAAAACGGAGTTACACAATATTTAAAAAACTTCTTGTCATGCGAAGAAAAACATTCCTAGCACAGAAAAAAACCTTAATCCTTAAAAACACAATACCTATCAGTTATAACCACACGTAAGTGTTTTATTTTTCACTAAGTTACTTAAATATGGGCATATCGGATAACAATTATCCCACTTCATATTGCTATTGACAAATAAAGTACCACAATTGTTACCACATAAGGACTTGTTTTTTTACTGCCCAGAATATTAATTTTAATTATTTTTAGAATAGTTTATATATATATATATATATATATATACAATTTTTTTTTAAAATTAAGATGCAATATTTTACGTAAATATTCTTTCTCGTTGTCTGGTTTAAATTTTTAAATATTAACAAATGGGTAAAGACCACATAATATGTCATACAAAAATGTTCAAAAAATATCTGATTCGTGAGATCCTTTCGTCAATATTCAAGGAACTTAATGCCAAATAAAACATTCGATCAGTACTACAATAGCGCAGATAACACTAGAACTCTAGCCATAAAACCCACGTCTATGTCTATTGTCTATGCTAGACTCTGTCGGGAAGACAGTATGCCGCTCACTAAGTCTGGCCCAAACCCTTAGCCGGTTCCAGTCTACGGACTTACTGTGAGCCACGCGTTTACAACTCAAGTATGTCCGCCTAAGGACACTGCTCACTTTGCCCTGATAGTCATAATCAAAATTCATATGTAAGGTTAAGAACGAGTCACTATCGTCATTTCTATTGACTTTGAAGGGTCCCAAATGAAATGCAATAAATTTGAAGGGGTACTGAAATATAATACTTTAATAATTATATATAAATTTCTTAGTATAGCAAAAAAAGCCAACCATGTTTAGTATTCACCCAAATTGGATGACTTGTTGGAAGTTTTATATATTTTTAAAAAATAATATAAGAAAATTGATATGATATTATGTATGCCAATTTATTTTAAATTTATCAATTGATACCATTTTAACGATAGCGATTCGTGCTAGGGTCACATTTTATTAAATATATTATATGGAAATAAACAAATGAATTATATCCGTCTTAATTGATATTTGTCGAATGATTGCAAATCGAAATACAAACTATAAAAAAATCGTATCAAATCGCCAAACTGAAAAAATAAAAAAAGATTCAGCTTATATTAAATTACACTAGAAAATAGCTTGATGATTTTTCCTTTGAACACCTAAACGACCTAATTTTGATGAATGAATAGCAAATATTTAGACCAAACCAATATATATTAAAGCAATACATAAAATAAATTACAAAAGTAAAATTATAAAGCAAGTCCATATTTATATAAAGCAAGCTATGTGAATACAGTAAAATGTGGGTTGAGCTCTGGCGCAAAGTATACGTACACTATAGCGAGGAACCATACATAAAAATTATTAAAAAAATACTGAAATAAAAACGGTGTTATATTTGCATTTAACATTTGCAATTTTATTTATCGAGAGGCACTACTAAGGGTCATAAAAATGGGTTACCATGCCAACAATGAAAGAAGTGATTCGATAGTTTTAAATATTCAGGTTACCATGGCAACTAAATAAATGCAAATACAATCACCGACGTAAAACCTTTGAGGACACAAAAGCTAGGATCGCGTGCATAAATTTCAACCCGTGTATTAGTGTTGATGATGCTAAAAGTGCTGCAAATGCTGCAAATATTGTGAATACTGTGAGTGCTGTGATTGCTGTTGACTTTGAGCTTACCTTAAGAGGCACTGGAGGCACTTCTAGGTGATAACCTATGTCGCACAGGTTACGGAGGAGCTCGATGCCTGAAATTTATTTTGTTGTCACTTAATATTAATCAAATAACTATGATGAAAGCTTTAAGGGAACAGATTTCTTTTTCATACGAATTTAGGTGTCTCGTTAAATTTAAATACCTCTATTTACATCAATTTCTCATTCGAAGACTGAACATAAATCAAACTTAAATCTAGTTTGAACAGCTGTCAAACTATTTTTAGCTATAATCGTATTTTTAATTAGACGAAGCCAACTGACAGTAGCTAATGTCACTTTGTAAAATAATGTTGCCATATATAAAGTAATAGTGATACGTTCAGTTCTTGTTCAATTAGATGAATGACCAATGAGAGTGAATAGTTAATCATTTCAAACTATAAAAGAATGTTATCTCTATTTTAAAAGTGTATAAAAGTGCTCTGATATAAGTTAGGTACTAGTAGTATTTAACTACAATCAGTTTTTTGACGGCTTATTACAAAGCGCGGCGCGGCGACTAGTGCCATCACCGATCATTAATTCATGAGTTTTTTCAATCATTCACTTTGTCACAACACTATTTTTATTTCATTAAAAAACTGACAACACCGTAAACGTCAGTTGACTTCGTCTAATTAAAAATACGACTATAGAAGATTGACATATTTGACAGCGCTCAAGGCGAGGTTGTAACTGAATCCAATAATATTATGGACCTCAGCGTTATTTGCAAATGTTATCTATGCACAATCTTTATTTGTTTAATAATAGTTCAAAAAAATGCTCACCCGAGTCTCTCTTATCCCCATACCGCGATTCCCAAGCGTCAAATAGGCGGTTGTAATACCTAGGTCCAGCTAGGAACCCTAGGTACTTGTGTGTGTTTTTGTTCGGGAACACACGCTCCATATCCCCGCTTTGCGTTAACTCGTCTTCGGCTTGTATGAGATGACGTACGTCGTCCGGCGTCAAAGTTGAGAGAATGTCTCGAAGGTACTGGAATTTAATTTTAAAGGGATTAATGTTAGAACTTTTTTTTACATAATTTTTCATAAGTAGCTATGCTTTTATGTTAATTTATGTAGTGTTATCTTTTTACTGATACATGCGCTTTTAAAAAGATGATTAAATTGGTTATAATTTACAGATAAAGTATATAACGAACGTTTCCTTTATCCAACTTAGTTGAAACAAAAAAAAAAAAATCACTTATTTTTCTTGTTAAACACTTGCCTTTGTTCTCTAACATAAAATCAATAAAGTTAAAGCAATGGTTTTTATACATAGCAGTATTTCAAAAACCTTTTAGACTTATAAAAAACTTACCATATCCCGTTCTTCCATGTTTGTATATATAATGTGTTTATCTCTTTCTTCCTTTGATAGATATACTGTGTACAACCTGCTGTCGTATGGCACACCAACCTAAGGATAAAGATTTAATGTATCCAGTAAAGTATCCAACCAACCGACCGACCTCCATGACCATGACTCCGGGGTCATGGGTTCGGACCTGGTTTTTTAACACTGAAATTGTCTATGTGCGGAATTAACACGTATAGTTTTTGGATAATACAAAAACCAACATGTTTTCCAAAATCTACGACGTATATCACAGAAGGCCGATCACCTTTAAAACATGAACCAATGGATCAGGTAAATAAAAACCCTAGAGCAGCAAGACTAAACATTTTGTTCCTACATTACACATACCATTTTATGTGGTTTATCCTTTGAAAGCATCTCGATATTTGTCTTAATAGGTACTTGGAACTGAGCTATATTGAGCACTGTGGAGACCAGCGGACCCTTTACGTGAATATCTAAAGGCGATGCGCTGTGCAAACTGGGCGAAATGTTCACCTGGAAGTTAAAAAAAATAGTCTAGCGATTTTGAAAACTCAGTAAACAAAAGAAAATTTCAAGGGTCCAAAATCAAGCTTTTAAAAATGTATGTTTCTGTATGATAAGTTTCGAACTTACGACGTTTAAACACATTTCTATTTCAAATCATCTACTCCCTAAGGGAGCGTTCAAGTATTACGTAACGATTTTTGGGGGGGAGGGGGTTCCTTTTGTAAAACGTTACGATGCGGGGCGGGGATTGAATTACGCGTTATTGTTAATATTATTTTCGACTTTCCAGTTCTTTACACCACATAATGGCAACTTTTAGGTATAAAGAGTCACTGGGAGGTCACGAATCGTTTTAGTATTGGGTGGTGGCGCGTTACATGGGGGGGGGATCAATAATCTCCAAAAATTGCGTGACGTAATACTTGAACGCTCCCTAATTCACGGAAAACGAATCTAGGTCCTCCCGCTTCCAGGCTGCGCACAAATGACCCACAACAACATATCTGATTCAATACTATACCTCCAACAACCAAGGCTTGAGATCCTCATCAAGCAGGACATCAATCCCAAATAGTTCATAACAGTTATATCTCGAAGTAATATTGGCCTTCGTCAATGAGCTGATGCTGCCTTCTCCGGATATTATTGTCTTGATCACCAGGTCTTTAATGGACGCCCATAGTGCATCTGTGTCTACGTCCTTGTCAGTCTTTAGATATTGGAAGAGGGTTTGTAGTGTCCTGAAAAAAGCTATCATAAGTCACAGCCTCCGCTTAAGCATGGTCAAGATCTTAAACTCCAAATATGAAAAATGGCTTGTCCGGTCTTGAAACTTGATTTATATAAAGTAAAGGTGTATCCAAAAGGAATATAGAGCTAGCTCATAATAGTACATTTATTTAATTTCATTGGTTCGTTTTGACAAACTAGTTCTCGCTTACATATACGACGACATCGACTGGTTTGTTTCGAAACATTTTTGGCGACCTATTCACCAATAGTCCTTATATTCCTGTCACTTAGATATAAAACCATAAATAATACAAAAAGTTGTTCGGTAGTTTTTGAGTTTATCGCCTTGAGGACCTTGATTTTATAATGGCGTAGTCTTGCTCTTTCACAAATTTTGTAAACGTTTTTGACATTCATAAGCATGCGCTAAGACGCATCTAAGCTGAATAAACGTATTTGGATTTCATTTGATTAACGTATATGGATGGAACAGGTATCCTAATACATACTCATTGCTATATATGTTTCGATAGCAAGAACTATGAAAATGAAATAGTCGAAACATTTTTGAATATATAGTAGTACCATACGGTAGATTAATATAATATAAAAAACATAATCAGCAAATAAGTTTTAACGGCATTTTATGCGTTTTAAAATCTATTAACAGGAAATTTGTTACTAATGTATTTCTATCGAAATGGTGTAATATAAATCTAAACTCACCACTTATGTCCCTCGCACGCGGCAAAGTCTTCATTGGGCGTGTAGTGCTTTGACAATCTGTTTATTGAGTAGTTCGTCAAATGCATATACCTGTCATTTAGTGACGTTAATTCTGAATTGTATTTAACTGAAAAAAAAATACATGCGTTAAAAAACTTCTACTATTTCCTTTATAATATAATAATTGTGATGGTATCGTGCGCTAATTATACCAAATATCTGTATATTATAATAGACTTTAAAAAAACAATGGCGTAACAATTTAAAAAAAAAATCCTGTCTGTTTCGTGATGATTAATTTAGTTTTCTTTCTCAGAAACTGGTGATCAGCCTTTTGGCCTGAAACTGGTTATCGAATTTGTTTGGAGTCTAAGGCCAGCCGGTTTCCTCGCGATGTTATTCTTCACTGTACGAGAGTTAAATCCGCACATAGACAGAAAAGCCATTTGTGCACAACCAGTATTCAAACCTACGACGTCAATCACGAAAAAGAACATGGCGATTAAAAAGAGTGGCAGAGAGTGTATTGCCAGTTCTTCTCTTCCGTTCTACGCCCTTGATTTGAGAACTGGCACTAAATGTAAAGTTAGAAGCATTTCATATACAGTTCTTTTTTTTAACGATCATAAGTGTACATTGTGTTACCTATATGATTAAATGATTTTTGAATTTGAATCTCTAAAAATCTACCCTGGTAATACAGTCTAACATAGTAATAACGAAAAATAATTTAGCGCCATCAATATTGAAAATCTCACCTGAAGCGAACCTCGCTAGGCCGTCCTTATACAAATATATCCGTAGTGGGTGGACGGATGTTACAAGGACGTATAACCGTAAATCGAACTTGCTACCATTGATTAGGTATGGCTTGGACACATATCGCTGTACCACAACGGGACGCTTTTTCGGTATTTGGGCCCAACGCGATACCACCTTTATACCAGTGCCGCGAGCTGACGCCGGCTGAAATTAAATTATATGACATGTAGATAATGGGCTAAGATACGATATCTGTTTCACTTTTGTGCTTTACAGGCTGAAATACATTTATACCACAACCATGGAAAACGAAACTATTCAAACATTGTTAGTATGAAATAGTAATAACTTGAATTAAAAAAAACTTATAAAAGAATATTAAATGGCAGTATCTTTCCAAGTTTATTTTTAAAATTATGAATAACATAAATTTTCTTCTGAAATTTTGAGTGTAAACTTTGATATGATTTAACTATAAAATCATGCGAATAGTAATTAGAATAGTTTCAAATAAGAATACAGTCGACTCTCGATAATTTGAAACTCAAGGGACCAGAGATAAATTTCAAATTATCAAGAGTTCAAAATAACAAGTGTTTGAATAACCACGACTGAAGGAAATAAGAATTTGATAAAAATTTGTTACTTATTATTTATATCTATATTCTTATTATGTATTAACAATTATTCACAAATTTTTATTTCGAAAAGAAGTCTGTAATCTTTTTTTGAGTGAGTGACTTCAGTTTATCATTGTCCAATGAATTTTCGATAGTGGTGAGAGTTGCAAAGCAATCGTCACTTGTCACCCATTTATGTAAACAATTGACAAGTCTGTGCATGTATGTAAACAAACGACAGGTATGTGCATGATAAACGCTTCAATTTATAGAGAGTAGAGAAGACCGGATTTCAAATTATCGCATGTTGGCGAGCAAGATAATACTTTTTCAACTTCAAATTACCGAAGGGACCAATTATCATTGAATTTATTCAAATTATCGAGAGAAACAAATTAACGAGTGTCAAATTATCGAGAGTCGACTGTATCTATTTGAGAGCTACGATTCCAAAGATAACACGCTAAATTACACTAAATTTAACATAGATTAGTTATAAATACAGATAACACCATACTAACCGGTTTTATAATCCACCTCTCATTATTAGCAGCATATTTCTCCCAGTCGTGTTTGAGTAGCTTCAAATCGTGAGGCAACACATATGTCTTAGGCATTATACCGAATTCATTTACGCCAAACCTATTGCATAATTTCTGTAAATTTCTCCATAATCTGTCTTTTCTGCCAATTTGAAAGGTGCCAGGAAAATGATTCATCTTCTGGCCGTCTTTGATGGCTCTGAACATTAAGGATTTCATGTGTTTACCCCAAATACCTATCCACTCTACCGTTTCTGAAATTAGAAGTTTGTACATGGTTATATTATTATTTTTTCTAGAGATTATGCTACTTAGATATTATTTTTTTTTTAAATTATCTAATATTCTATGTATGTTTGACTGAATTTAGTATTTTAAAGTTAAGTAAATAACTAATGGACATTACGAAATGGTATGTCATAATTGTATGACATACTCGTTTTGAAAAGAGCTACTCGTTTAATTTGTCATCAACCCATATTTAAAAAAATCCACAAACCTTCTTGAGGACACTCCGACGTATCACACTCACTCTTGACCAGTCTAAATCCAGAATTAACCAGGGTCTTCTTGACAACTATAGGCGTTATTGTCGTGAGCTTCCATTTGAGATGTTTCTGTATAGCTGGCGGCACTTTAAGTGGTATTGTGTCCTCGTGGCCTACGAACTTCAAGTATGGTGGCACTCTTGGGAATAGGGATGGTCGAAGACAGTTTCCTAGCGATTCGGTTACATTAAGCGGCGATTCTGTAATTGAGAACAGTAATTCGTGACACAAAGCTTATTCAAAGTAAAAAAATCACTACAAAAAAATGTACTAAAAGGTTACAAGGAGGAGACTAGTGTTTATGTTCCAAATTTGAAAATACTGTAAATACTGGAATATATTCATATTTTGAGAATAGTAATAGCCTAATACGACGATTCTACGAAGTACGACTCCCGTATGTCTCAAAAAAACTCAGGTACGCTAGTCACACTTAGCGCTAAGTCTCGTGTCTGAATCTTATGGCTACAGCACAAATTGAACCCATTTGTATCTTTCTAGAAAATGATAAACTAGATTTTTTCATATAATGATTTAGCATACATTTCTATCCATGATAATTTGCAACACAATACATTACATAATTACAAGGGAACTACGTAATATCGAGCATAAAATCTAAAACTATTTTAACTACACGATAAGAAATAACCATATTGTAACCTTTACGAGTGGGTAGTGATTTGAAAGGATTCGTCGTGTGTAAAGCCGTTAAGAACGTATCTTGGCTTGTCTTTTCTGTAAGGAAATAATCAACAATTTTACGATTTTGTGTGCAGCTTGCACTAGCAGATCTAACAAGTGGCATTACCAATTTTATCAGGTAACGCAAATGTGTGAAATCCAATAAATTTAACGTATTTTCAAAATAACGTTTCTACCTAAGTAATTTGTTTTAGATTACATAAAAATAGTAAAAAAACTTCTCAAATCACCAATGAAATCTCAATTTCTATATTGCGTGTCAATATATCATCACGTCAATATATCATCACATACATACTAACACGTAAGTCATGATTACTGTATATAATGTGTATTTAACTGTTCGTATAGTCAATAAGTAAAAACTTTTAAACTGCAAGCGTGTTCTTTTTTTATTGAAGGTATACTTGTACGCACATGGCGCATAATAGATAGGTCTAGGGGATTCTTTAGAACTGTCTAGAATTATATTTTCTACGTGACTCCACAACTTGACAGATGTTCTACATTGCAGACACTTCAAAGAAATTCTATACTAGAATAGAAAACTACACGTGTATCACGAAACTAATAGTTTACAATAGCTTTTACAGGTGTTGTATAAAGAACACCGTCTTTCATATATTTGGCATAGTTTTCGTATATTCGCGATTCTTTTTTTACTTCCAAATATACCCACTTAGCTCTGCTCAAATTATTCATATACAGAAATTTATTTTTAACAATTCAATTGTACACGTTTGCCATACCCATATATGCAACACGTGCTGGGTAATACAATTTACAAGCACGCGATTTGGCAATGTATGACGTATCAATCATAACACGTCATTATTGAGCAACAGGGGTATTTTTAAACGCGCTATTTCGGAATAACGAATCGTCAATTACTGATTCATCTATTTCCGGATTCTTCGCGTGCTTTTGACATTGGTTTAATTATCATATTCTTTATTGTTTGACATCGCCGGTCATGTTTTTTAGCTAATTCTTTATAGGGTCTTTAAATCACACGAATTTTAAAATGTAAAATTTTACTTGGATTACAGTGATTTATTTAGTGCTTTGAACTTCTGAATGATTATAGGTAATATTTGGAAGAGGTGACACACACGGAATACAAAATAGGTTAATGTAATCGCGTAAACAATTGATAACCAACATGGCGTATAATCCGGAGGTTCTTGATTCGATTATCAGCGCATTAAGTATTTCGGGTTGATAGACAAATAAGTCTAAAAACCTATGCCTACGAAAAATAATAAAGCAAATGTTAGAAATGTGCCCAAAACCCCTAAAGGTCTATTGTGTTACCTTACCTTTAGACAATACTTTCTTCGGCGACATAACAGTACCATTAAGTTTGTTTGTGATCTTAGTGACTGAATTTTGTTCTAAATGAGCAGGGGACCGAGTCCTCGGAGGCTTTTCAACCTTTTCTATATTCGTTGTATCTGTCTCCATCCGCCATGATTCAGTTATTGGGTCCGGGGAAGGCGATCGGCTGTGAGAACTAAAAAAATCAAAATGTTATAAATATTGTCAGTATTCACTAAACTTTGAAAGAATTCGGAAATATTAAAACAAATTGTACTAGAGAATGTTTAAATATTAGTATCCCTTCTAAACATTTACCTATAATTAGTACAAACAGGTATTCAAGTAAATGCAATAAATTAATCACAAACAAAACTGGTATGCGCCTGCGCAGGCTTATATATATATATATTAAAATCGTCGCTGACAGTTAAACGACATTTGCGTAAAAAATCAGTGATGTTTTGGAACATAAGGCAATTTAAAAAAAATATATGTAATATATGTAATGTATGTAATAATAAACTTACTCTTCACCCTCCCCTTCAATAATATTACAGTCCACTTTACTATTGGATCGCATCTTTTTCGTCTTTGTTTTTTTCTTGGTTTTTACCAATTTCTTTTCTGGTATCGCCGTCACTGAACTAACAGGTAATGCGGGGCTGACTGCCGGTCTCGTTGGCGTATCCTGACGTGGCTGGAATGATAAACTAATTATTTAAAAAACCATATGTTATAAAATCACCGAAAGCGTTTATAATTTTCGCTAAAATCATAATTAAATTTTTATGATATTACTAAATATAGAACATATTTATGTGAACCTAATGAAACATTTACATAAATAAGCAGCAACTTCAATATTCTCATACCCAGGTTTTATTTCCAAAATAGAAGTAATAATTGTTTATCTTCACCTCGTCAATAAATAATTCTATTAGAATTTGGGTGCTGCCATTTAAAAAAAAATATGAAAAGGACGCAAAAATAATGCTGTAATTCATGAAACACGCTCATGCATACGTCATTAAATATTCAGTCCGTGGAATTTTTAATACATATCATTTCCTTTTGTATTTTGTATCAATTATTTTTCAGAGAGACGTTACGTACGTTACGCGGTAGTCTCTAAACAAGAATATCGCTGATCGGTTCGTTGCACCATAGCTTGTAAATTATAATACAGTTATAAACTCACTTATAAATAGAATACCATATAAGTTTGGAGTTTATCGCTATGATGAACATGAATACAAATTTATTCACACAACAACCTCATTGAGTGTACCTTGTATTTTATTGACGTTAGGGAATTATTATTTTTTCCTCTTTTATTTCTCCGCAAAATAAAGTGATCAACCGAAAGACTAAATTTTAAAACAACTTTTATAGACAATAGCTGAAATAAATATATAATAGAGATACTGAAATAATAAAAACAAAGAATATTTTGTGATGCTCTGTCTTATTTGCAAAGATAAAGACAAAACACTAAATAGCTTTATAAGATTTTTTGTAAGTTTGTGACTACATTAACTTCATTTAAATTAAGATATATTTCAATACTTGGAGATACATTAAAGAACTTGATTTTACTTGTGTCGAAAAGCTTGACAAAATTATTATTAAAGTTAGAACTAAAAGTCTCTTAACACAAACTGTTGGACGATCTTATAACCGAGTCTACACAACAAATCTCTGAATTTAATGCATAATGACATTAAATATGAGCAAGCTGAACTCAGATCTATGAAGCCACGTGTACAATGTCACAAGCTTACTCGATTGATATTTTCTCCAGCACCTCACGTGCGTATAAAGATATGGAACGTGTAAAATATTTTATTTACCGACTACTGTCAAATATTATTAGTATTACATGAGAAGAATCATAATATAACAGCAACCAGATGGAACTACGGTGTAACTTTATGTCTTTAGGATCTTATAAGACGTGAACAAAATAGTAAAATTATTAAGATAAGTATCTCATAAAAATATACGTAACATTAAATATAACAATTTTTTATCAAAGTCAAAGGTATTAAAATATGATGTACGATTAGCTTACCAAGACTACCTACAATGAAGGCTCTGTTTTGTATTTTTTTAACAAATTGTAACACCGGCTAAGCACCACTTAGTCCCGATAAAGCCATATAAATACAACACAAATATCAAGGCCTGAATTTTAGCCTGATAAAAAAAATTCAAAAACCATTCACATCGATTATGAAAATTGTCACTGTAACATGCGTTCCATTACACACAAATAATTTTATTTTATCCTGCTTGAAACACTTTGAAAATCACTACAATATCCACATGTTTTCACTACACCTGCCACGTGGGATTTGACACAAGGTTATCCGAGACGCACAAGAATAGAATAAAACGAAAATATAAGTGTACTTTAATTTCGGTAAACATATAGAATTACAATCGCGCGGCGCTTAGCTTACTAAATTAAACTGCACGCGATTTTAAAGACAAGCGCTTCAATCGATTAAGCTCGTGGCTGGTTTATTGCAACGTAGCTACAAGCTCATCGTAATTACAGTAGAATAACTGTAATGATACGTTGTGAGGATTGTACTAAAAAAATTGTTAATAACAAATATAAAATAATTATAACTAATACACAAAAAGTCTTACATTCAATTATATTAATCAAGATTTTCATTTTATAATCTAATTCGATATCTACTGATTTTTTTAATTTCTACTGTAATTTTGATCTGATAATATCTACCTTCGCGAAGTGGAAGCACTGTATTGTATTGACATTTCATTTGCTTGGCATGGCGCCCGTGTATTGCGGCCACAAATCCTAACACGATACAGAGTTTTTAAATAAAATTTCGTCACCCAATTGTCTAAAACGATTAGTGGGCTAAAATAGACTTTATGACCCACTAAATAATACTCCGGAAACTACTTATGTGTAATATTGGTATTTAACACGTCATGTCAATTACATATTAAACGATGTACATAGCAAATTCGGCTCAATGTTATCGTGCAGACGAGTTAGTTATTTTCAAGAAAATTAAGTAAATTGTAATTATATTAATAATCTTTAAAAAAACGGGTAATTATAGGTTTATGTAGGATAAACGATGATTCTTTTATTTATACGCCATATACGTTCTCAAAAAATCACTGCAATAACATGCGGAGCGTCGTAAAATATTTTGACGTAAACAGATAATCAATTACATTTAGATTAGATAAGCCTATCTTCTAAAAATTAACTCGAAGTATAAGCGAAAAACAACTAACATCTTATATCTTTTATTTACGTGAGTTATTTCAAATAAGATACACTTAATAAGATTATGCCGCATTTAAATGTTAACATCATACGATATTTATTTTACATTTTTAAAAGTCAGTGAGTCTTTTAATGCAATGTATTTTATTTTTAATCTCCTGACGCAACATAGCACCCCTGGTGTCATACGTTTGATGCGTGGCAACGTAGCCCAGTTCCTAAAGCTTAGGTTTCCTAGAAAAGCGGTGCCGATATCTAACGGCCGTAATGTAGCGTTGGGTGACGTCACCCATACGTTTTCTATAAATAACATCGGAGTAGGTTTCCTAGAGAACGTTGAGTGTCACCGTAACGTCAAATAGCGGTGCTGTCATGACGGCCGTCATAGAGGTGATAAACATTAGTTCAACGTTTTTCGTGTGTAGCGGTGCCCATATTTAATTAATACAATGAGTGGAAACGTGACATGGACATTGTTTTTTTGCATTATGTTAAAAAGTAAAGACGGCCGTTATTAACACGGCACCGCTTTTCTAGGAAACCTAAGCTGAAACGAATGGACCGATTATGGAGGGGCCCACGAGCTAAATGGGGATTACTCGAGCGCGTAGAGACCTATTGGGATGCAAAGCAGATAATAAGAAGAAAAATGTTATATGATATATACCTTTTCATCGGTGGGGGAAGCGGCTATAGATTGTTAAATATGAAAAAAAACTGTTGCATGGACATCCTCGAGCGCGTCAGATATTGATAGCATCAATGCCCTACGTATTTTTAATAATGTACGTATGTTAATCTGATCGTTTGCAGATGCGGGTGGTTGTATTTAAGGGTCGAAAATGAAAAAAAATAAAAATTATCGAGCGCGTCAGATTTTCTAAGGGAGTGTAAGTGCACCAAAAAAAAGCTCTCATTCACAATCTGACGATTTCGATGGGACGCAAACCCACGGCCATTTTCATAATTTGCAAAAAAAAAACGCAATTTTGAAATACTCAAGCGCGTCGGATTAAGATAAATGTGGTTCATCTTTATGTTCTAAACGTACTGTCTCATAATCTGACGATTATCTAGAGGGATTCGCCTGATCTGACAAAAAAAATTTAGAAAAACGGTTCACCTAAAGGGCCGTCCCTGCAAGTTCCCGCTAATTCCATTCCTGGGCGCTTAAAATTGATATTTTGAGCCGCTGAGTTCAAAGAAATAACATTTCTATGCATTTGAGCTCTCCCAGCTCGAAAGTCTGATAGAAGTTTCATAGAACACTATTTTTGGAATTTTCAAACCGCAATAACTTTTGAATGGATCAAGCAATTTTCACGCGGTTGGCGGCATTCGACGCAGTTTTATCATCCTCATAAGTAATTTTAATTGATCGAACCACAAATTTCGGAGTAATCCCGAAAAAACACTTTTTCGGGTTTCTTTCGTTCACGATATCTATCGAACGAATCAACCGCTTTTGACCAGCTTGGTGGCGATCGACGTGGTTTTTCAAGCTCAAAGGTGGATTAGTTTTTGAAGTTGATCGATAAAGAAACCACTTTAAAAAAATATATTTCTTATTTTTTTAAGATTTTTCAAAATTTCTCAAAATCTATCGGTCCGAATCGGTTCAAATTCACATGAAATGTAATTTTGAGGGAAATATTTAGAACGCCGTTTAGTAGATTCCGATCGGTTTAAGGAAATGAAGGCATGACGCAGTGCACGCATTTAACTTTATCGACGAATTTTTGTTATTTCGGCTTGCGGAAATCGCAGATTATATATTTTTCATTATTCTTGAATTATTTCCTTCAAAATAAAAAAAATTAGCTACGCTCGAGAATGTCGAGATGACGTTTTTTTTTACAACTTTGTTGCCCTCCCCTTTTTCCGTCACTCTCAAATTGTCAGATTAGTGGAATATACACTTTTTAGGATGTAATTAACTCACCCTACCTTAATCTGACGCGCTCGGGAATTTCTGATGGTCAATTTTTTTTTACTAATCTGATCCTGTCTCCTTCACGGGCGGCCTTATATATGGGCCCATATTTTGTGGAGGTACTTAACCGGGTACAAGGTATCCCCCTATATATTAATTGCCGCGCTTTAGTATCCCGAAACCCCTCTTGGGCTCCCCTACCGATTATGACGGTTTTTTGATAGTAACCTGACGTCATCGAGATGGTTCATTAATTACAAATTTATATCTGTTTAGGGGTTTCTTTCAGCTGTGTTATCGGCTGAAACTAACAGGCGTAATGGAAAATTAATTTAATTAGAAACGTGTCTTACCTAACATTTGTATTACCCTTGTATGCCGTTAACACTGAGCTACTCTAATAAAGCTCGAAGGTTATATATATTTATTTACTTTAGGTTGTATTATATACTTTAAACTTTATTATTATTATTATTTAACAACTATGCAACACAAATATATTTCCCAAAGTATATTTTTATACATTATCTTGGAGATTTCGATCACAGAAACCTAATAAATTTATTATTTTAATACTTGTGTAAATCCCTTTTCTAGGCAAACTGTGTGTATCAAATAATTTAATGTAGCAATATGCCAAATATAATAATACCACAAAAAGTTCTCTCGACCAGTAGTATCGGTCAGAATATGTCAATAAACATACAGATTCATTCTTCTATGGTAGAAACCAGTGGTGCTAATACCTTTTAGTTCTGGCCCACAGATCTGTAAATCTGTTTTCTGATCATTTGCTTTTTTTAATAGGCAAGTAGACCAGTCTTCTGTGTCCGACACACGCTGTACCGTACGAGCGGGTGTTAAATACGCACATAGACAGAAAGTCTATTGGTGCAAAGCCCGGGTTCGAAACTACGACCTCAGGAAGAGATTCGCACGCTAACGCCACTAGCCCAACACTGATCAACTCACGAATTTCGGGAATGAAATCCAAATGAGTTGGGTTGATTCCAGTTTCAATAATTTCTGTAATGAAAGCGATATTTGTGACCTAGTTAAAATATGAAACGAAACATTGCAGATCATTTAGGGAATATTTTAATCAGCTTGGGAGGCAAATAAAGAAAATGTACTCCTATTGCATATTCAATTTAAAATGACTATTAAAGACATACAAGTACAACGTACTTAAGTATGTACTGCACTGATAGTAGATTATCTGTTAGATAATTAATTAATTGCGAACTAATTTTCGCGATGTCGCTAGAAATGAACGCTAGAATGTCTTCATAGATTTCACGCATTGAATGGTGTCGAACTGAGCTACAAAGGCGATTGTAATAATGAGAGATGTTTATGACATCTTTCATTTAGCTATTTTATATATTCTACTAGCAGACCGGCCAAGCGTTGCTGTGGCTAAGGTTTTTGTTATATTACGTAGTAAACTATTCAAGGGAAACGGTAGAAGAACACCAGTCATGGGCACCACTATGCTTCTTTGGTGGTTATGCCATTAAATTGTAGCTTATGTGAAACGTCGGTACTTTCAACACAGCGCCATCTGTTAGAATTGTGACTGTCAAATAATATACAAATAATTTGCAATAAAATAATATTGCGGGTATAAATTAGGATGTAAGCTATCCTATCCTTTAAGTTAGATCAAATTGCACACGGTGTGTAAATTTGATTGAAATCGGTTAAGTAGTTTAGGAGTCCATAGCGGACAAACAACGTGACCCGTAATTTATATATATTAAGATAAGATATTAAAGTACAAAAAATAATTTATCTTGTGATCCGTACGAAATATTTCAAAATTTCGTTTTGATAATTTTTAAGCACTCAATAAGAGTTAAATAACTTACACTGTGGCACAATTTTAAGAAAATCTTCTTTAACGACGGCATCACTAATATCATAAAAATAATAGTTAATTCTAGACCGCTGAAATATTCACGGCCACTATTTCAACATTCACACGCTATTACACGGCACTCGAACGAAAATATCTCAATAAAACTTCCACCTTCCGAAAATTCATACATGCCCGCGAGTAAACAATAAATTACTGTAAAATCTCGCTCCGCAATAATTACGTACGACGCATAATCTCGGTTAGCCCACTTTAGTCTCTATTATCTATTAGATAAGATCGAAACACACGACGTATGTTAGCACGACGCGTCCCATTCTGTAAAGCCCCATCCACACGCTTGACAAACAATGGCAAACAGCCAACAGCAATCAGCATACACGAACGTGTGGATGGGTGTTCGTCGTTGTTTGCCTGTTTGTGTTTGTGTTGGGCAGTGTTCGGCACGGTGTCGGTTTTAGTTGCCAGATCAAAGGATGTTTGGCAAACAGTTTGCTACGTATCCACACGTTTGGCAGCGATCAGTATGCGCGCGAGCTTGCGGGAGGCGGACGATTTACTTGCTACACTTTCGTTGGCGCGCAAAGCGTAAAAAATGTCTGATTGGAGCACCTACGATTCTGACATTTTTAAGTAACTTTTAAGTAAAATTAAAAAAAAAACACGGCAAAGTAAAGCTCAAATAATAGGTCTAAAGCCTTGTACGCTTTCTATGTATTTTAATCATCCACCGTCGTCTTTGCTTTCTTCTTTTTTCCTTTTTTCTTTCTCTTGCTTTAATTTATAATAAAAAATGTCAACCCGAAAGTAATAGGTGCAACAAGCCGTCGTCCGCCATGTTTGCCGATTCGGAATGTTATGAACGTTCGCCAAGCATGTGGATGGCTGTTTGTGTTGGGTGATTGTGGTTGGTGTTTGGGACTTCGTTTGCTTTTTGCGGTGTTTGTAAAAAGCCAGCGTGTGGATGCCCCATAATGAGAACCGTACTGGGACGTGCCGGGACGCGCAAACCCGTGAAATCGACTTAAAAACAAAAGTTATACATTGCAAATCGTTATAACAAGTTTTCAGTGCGAGTTGAAAATATTTTCAGTGTTACAAACAAGTTTTATAGGAATCGTAAATTACATATAAGATGCCTAATTCAAAACATATTGCGCCGCTTAAATTAAGATACATAATATAACAATAGTGACATATCTTCGTTTGTTATGTTCATAATATGACAGTTGCAAAAGAAAAATACTTAATAGCTTTTAATGATTTTTATAGATGTTTTTTAGATAACAAAAATGTTCTTTTATTTTATAAACTCTTCTTTTAATTCATGGATAGAAAGAAATGAGAAGGAAATAATATCTAGTATAGGCTATGTAAAGGGTGTATATAGGACTATTTATTACAAAGCTTAATGTTTATAATCAGGTCACTAGTTCACAACATAATTGAAGATCACATTCATGCAAATGGGAAAGTTACTTTGCATGCGATATTGTTGAAGATTTATGAAAAAACTTTAACATAATATCGAATGGGCTTTTGCGCAATTGTTTACCATTTATATAACTGTTCTTTACACGAAAAACATCTTAGCTATCCCTTAAGGACCTATCTGGTCGCCAAACTCCAAAAAAGTAGATCGTTTCTTTCCATTTTCGCCATGGTTTCTTGATACTTCAAGCCCTACTGGGCGAATGGAAAAAATATATGGTGGAGTTGACTAGTTTATGTATCCATTTTGAAAGATCGATAGACGATTTAAATAACTTTGCTCGATAGAAAAAAAAACAAATATAGCCAATTTTTGACACTTTGAATTCATTTTATGACAAAAATGTATATAAAGGACATGATTTATAATTTACAAGATATATTTTATCGCAAGCCAAGTAATCCTTAAAAAAATTTGATAAAATTACATTAATTTAATGTTTTTACAAAACTAATTGTTATTACGGGCCGGCGCGCCTCAGTGCACCCCGAGACACTGACACAGCAATTCGTGCTGGGATAGGGCCTTAATACTATAATGTTCAAAGTTTCTATGTGGGTGTTTAGAAAAGGGAGTTATTAAGCTTATTGCTATATCATTGATTGGAATTAGTTTATAGTACTCAAAGTATCAAGCATCATTTCCAAACACTTTTAACAAATGTATATATATTGGTATAATAATATTCAAATATTCTATTCCAAGTAAATATATGTTAAACATGTATCAAATTATATATTAATGCATTGACCATGAATAAAATAAATATTATTTATTAACTTTTACATTGGTATTGTTATACCCATATATGCATATGTTTAAAATGAACATATGTGGATACTCTTCTAACACAATGTAGGAACCGTTTGTACTAATTGACTTAATACTGTAGATAGTCAATTTCAAGATCTGTTGAGGTGTTAGCCATTTTACACTATTTTATACAAATAAGCTATTTATCATATATAAATAAATTATTGCTTAATTTAATTTTTAAATTTATAGGATACTCACAATTGGCACAAGGGGTAAATCATCTACTGTATCATTGTTAATGGCTGTAGTCCGTAACAGATGCATTTTGAACACATCATCCTTTGGAGTTACTATAACATGGTCCTTGCAGGAGCACTTGCTAGCTTTGCTAAAATTTAAACCTTTGTTTGTAGGTACTGAGCTAAGTGCGGCCACAGCAGAACCATATGAGTATCCAGTTCCCGAGTTATCTTTTGCTCTTTTCATATTATTTGATAAGTATGACAATTGACTGAAAAATATTATGTCATTATTTCATGTTTTTAATATTTGAAAGAGGCAATGATAGTCCAATAAAGTCTAATAAAACCAAAAAAGGAACCCACAATGCGTTATGTACCCATAACTTTAAGTATGTACTTCAAAAGACATTGATCACATTATTTTTCACTATTTCTTTAAAAGCCAATTAAGTGATCAGCTTTATCACTCATTCCGTCATTGGCAATTGGAATCATTATATGAGATTTAATGGGACCTATATACAACTGTTTCTAAAGCGTATAATTATTATATAGATACATTGTATTACACTAACAATATTTTTATATGGGTCGGAGTGTAAATATGTAGGTTAGGACCCTAAGAAACAGTGAACATTGAAATATTACATATCATACTATTACTTAAGACCTCAATATTAATCTTTTGAACTAGATTTAATCTAGAAATGAATTACTAATACAACTTTTCTAAATCAACATACACACTATATATGCTTTCTTATCATTTACAAAAATACTATTATCATATTTAAATAGCATGTGTTAATAACCTTAAAAGTATTTCACATAATATTTATAGTAAAAACACACCTGTCATAGCCAGCCATTGGTGAACTTATATGAAAACTACAGTAAAAGTTATCAGATTCACTAGAGGCTCTTTGTCGTCTTCTCCCTTCAGTTTTATTGTCCTGATACATTTTAGTTTTTGGCTTCTTTAAAATACTATGGGGAGGTGATTTTGGCAATGAATTATTGAGTATGGATTTTAGTGGCTGTTTTGATGTAACATCCATCATTTCATGATCAACTTTCTCTAGCAACTCTTCAACTTTAGGTAAACGGTCATCAACTTTTGAGTTAGAGAGTGTGGTCACTACTATAGGTCTTGTTGGACTTGATCTGTGATACTTTGATCTTCCTTGTTGATACCTAAAACCAATTCTTAATTATAGATATTTAAAATTAAGGGTAACAATATTGTGGTTAGGTATTTTATTTGTAATAAAAGCGTTACCCATGACGATTATAATCGTGAGCCATTATGAAATCTCCGTTTTGAGCAGAAGGTAAAGAACACTCGTAAGTGAATCTGTGCTGACGATGTTCGTGGCTGTTGTTTAAAGTGAAATGACTTTTATTAGGAAGGACGCGATGGCGATTTGCGAAGTCTGCAGAGCGCGAGCACTCGCGCGCTGCATCCTCGTAAGGAGAACGATCGATGCCCTCGCTGCGGCAACGCCGCCGCAACACCTTTGCCGGCCCTCTCCTAGACCACTCGAAAACTGAATCCAACGGATCACACGCGTCAAAACCGGCCTCGTAATTTGAGCACGATCTCATGCCATCCATGTCCGTAACTATACACTATTCATTATCACATGCCTACATGAATCGTGTCACACAATTAATTTCATTTAATCACTATTAATTTTGCTTTTTTAAGCCCTTAAAAGTTGAAACTAGAAACATGCACGTCCAGGGACGGCGTCGAAGGATAGGCAACGACAACACAGAATTCAAAAGCGACAATCACAACCCACAGATTAAAGAAAGTAAATAATCTTTTTTTCTTCGGTTGATTTTGATATAGAATAGGTCTAAAAAACAACATTGTCATATTTGCCACTTGCAAGTTACAAATTTACAAAATCGACTATTACTTGTAAAATTGAAGAGTCAGAAGATTTGTATGTGTGTTTTCTACAAAATTTAGAGGTAAATTATATGCGGAAGTCTTGGATGCTGCTTCAATTTAGACATAAATTTAAAGGATAAGTTTTGCCTATAAAGATTCAGAATTATGTGTAAAATAACCCTCATTGTAGTTAAATTATTCATTTTTTTCTATACATAATTACAAATTAAATCTTCATATCGCATCCATTAATATACTAACACAATACTTTCATATAATAGTTATCAAAAAATAATATACCTAATAATATATTTTAAAAATCATAATCGTGCTTAGCTACTTACTAGAATGAATCTTTATAATTTCAAACGAATCTGGTCTTATAATAATTGCTTTTTTATACATTACAGCAATTTTAATAGTTTTTTTTACTTATTTATAGAAAAACATACTTTATTAGCAGAAAATGTGACGGAATGGTATGAGGTCATGGCTAAAACATATTTTATAAATACAAATGTATTATTTTAATATGTTTTCTAAACCTATTACAAAAGTACATATATACGAAAGAATAAAATAAAAGATTTGGTGATGGAGGTGTAAATTGTTTTGTCGAATCTATCTTTCAGGTCTTAAAAATCGTACACAAAACAGCTGTAATCTTCTCGGCCAACAACTTTTTCCGATAGAATAGAAATTCTGCTATCAGAATATTTATATATATATACTGATGAGAAAGCTTTATATTTTTATTTTCTAAATTGAGCTAATGTTTTATATTACCAAATTGTTGGTTTAAAAGAAGAACGACCCTCATATTTTTATATTTTTTTTAGCTGATAATATTATACATCGGTGTTGACATAGAAAAACAAAACACTATTATAGAATAAGATATTAAAAGTGAATGTACATCAAGTACATTTTGAGTCTGGCAAACGAAAGTTAAACCTATCAAATCGCGGCAAGTTTAAAAATGTCTCTACAACATTTTTTAGCTCAACATTCGTTACGTAATATTTGAACGCCCCCTTAGCCAGCAAATAATTTTAATTCTAAAATCATAATAAAAGGCGGAGTAAACGAAATTAATTTAACTAAACCCTTTATTGAATGTTTCGTAGAAAGTAATTCAAAGGATTATTAGAATTGTATTTCCCTTGGTATCAATTTGCTGATAAATGATAATAATCGAACTCTATAAACTACAAAAACAATCATGACAATTTTTATCAACAAAAAATCATATTTTCTACCCAGATATATTATTTAATATATCTGATATATATAAGATATATTATTTGGGTAGGTTACAACCTAAAAACATAACTTTCTCATGCCAAAATATAGGTATATAAAAATAAAACACTGTTTTACGAGAATCTGTATTCTTTTTACAAAGCACTAATGTAACTTACAGTAAATTATTATTATCCTTAAAATTATTATAATATGAAATCTTGACTCTTTATCTAGAAATCTATTCAATAAAAAATCTGTCCCATTATATTTAATTGATTTTATTACAAGTAGGTGTGCTATTTTTGCTATATATGGAATAATGTTACTTATAACAAACCTATAACTTACAATTTTGTAATATATATTACATACATGAAGAATTTTGGTAAACCAAATTATTTAGTTGGTATTATCGCTTAGCGTATTATCGTAACTGTATAGTCAAAATTGAATCAAACTTACCTCGATTTTCAAATGATTTTCTATTAAAAAGTAATGAATCAAATGATGTCATGAATAAAATGAAAGTCAAAATTTAGCCCGCATAGAATAATAACACTATAAAATTATCAAATAGAAACAATTTCTTTTAAATTAATCTGTCCGTTTTGCTGGCTGATATACAAAGTTAAAAAAATATACATTGTAATTTTCACAACAATATTCTGGCAACACAGTCAGTGAATCCGAAACGTAACATTGTACAAATCATCACGAATGTTCTCCTTCAAAACACTCGTAAGTGTAATCTGGAACAAGTAATAAACATTCTTGGTTATACTATTTATTCATATTAATTCCATTTACCGGTGAGTCCATCCTTAGACCTATTTATACATTTCTTTAAGTTTCTAGTTAGTACTATAACCACATGTTTTGTTACATGGTTATCTTTTCTTTGTCAGTAAATAAAAAATACATACAAATCGAACTAAGCTGTTCATGGCAATGGCCAGTTGTAACTTCTAGTAGTCGTAGATTTTTCTATAAAAATTACGACTATTAAAAATATTGCAATTATATTACTTTTTGTTTGCTTTAATTCTTATATTACTGTTTCCATTGTAGTTAAAAAAAAAGAGTTTTTTAGAGTACTATTAGCTGATTAGAATACCTTAGCTGGTGAGCAACGCAATGTTGATCTCCTTGACCATTTTGACACGATGCAGCATCTTGGCAAGAGCGTGTCTGCTGAGGGGCTGCGTGGAGTACCACACGGGCGAGTCGGGCACGCACGATCTCTCCGGTTGTAAGTAGAACACGTCGTTGCGCGTGCGCACAGATTCGGGACTGAACGAGACAAGGTATTTTTGAAATAACATTTTTTATTTTCCAGTATATCAAACCGAATATTACCAGACAACGTAATTTATGTAACAGAAAACTAAATTAGAACTAATAACACGGAATGTTTATTAATAAAGCCTTGTTGTTCTAATACATTTTGATGAATAAATATATTTAAAAAAAACTTTAAATACGATAATTTTTGGCCAGATCTCGTATCTAATTAAAAGCGATGTCTTACCATTTAGATATATAAAATTCGTAAAGTTTAACTGGACATCTGAGAGGATTTTCCTCATTTTCCTGTTGTTCGTAGACCTTTTTCTTCCGAGAATTCGCTTCGAGTGCAGATTGGGGTGGGTAAAATCGTAAAAGCACATTTCTTGCGCCTGGAATTTTAGCTTGACCCGGCTGATTAGGATTGCGTTTCCAATGCTTCATTATATGAGAAAAGGATAGCTGCATGTGCTCATCTACTGTCTGAAATGGGATATTTATCAGATGTTAAATATAAAAATGTCAATTAATTGTATTTGTTGCTTTAATAGGTTTTAATCTTTTAAACAATTACTTATATCATGTATTTTTCATTATTTATACTAAAGATATACCCAAAGATGAAATACATAATATATACAAATTTGTAGTTGTGTCGTAATTTTTTATTATTAACGTTTCTTTAGAGAAGCTTTTAAAGATTGCAAGTAAGTTTTGCGATATTAATTGTATAATTATTTTATTGTTCGGCGTGAATCTACTTACATAAATAAGTTAAGGTAAAAACAACACACATGTTGGTATTAAAAAGATTGCCAGTTTTTGAATTTATTAAACTAATCTTACCACTAAATTAAAATGTTTAGTATTGAAAAACATAAGCGTTGAGAGTAAAACGTGCGGTGAATGTGCTCCCAACTGTTTGCTCTCCCAGAGATGTTCCTCCTCTACTCGCGTTACTATGTACTCTGAAATATTTAAAGAAATGGAATTAATAATAGTTCAGTATAAATAAACGTTTATAGAGTGCTTTAGTGAAATTTAAGAATATTTATTAGAATTTATTTACGAGCTTAAACAGAACTTCATTTTGCATGTTACTATGAGTAGCAATGCTTTAAATAATTTAAAAAAAAATAAGGTAGAAATTGTCAATACATTTCTGAACTGAAAAAAAAAATCAGCTAAATGAGTGTCTTTCAAGACTCATCGATAGATTTTTATTTTACATTTTTGCATTGTTCAAGCTTTGATTGGACAAGTTAACATACTTACGTGAATCATTATATAAAACCGAAAACTTCCTCGCTACTTCGTCCAGGCAATCGGTAAACTTTTCATAATATGGGTCCGTGAATATATTGTCTATCCTACCGTTTTCAAACAAATATTGTTGAATACCTGTAAATAAATTATACTCATAATAACATAATCATATTATAAAATATAGCTATGTAAAGCTAAAGTTTTGTTTCTATAAAAGTACTACAAAGACTAAAGCCATCAGTTGACTATGAAGTAAAGACAAGACATACTACGTGAAATTAAAACTATGTATTTAGACTAGATATCAGGAGAATTAAATAAAAAAAAGAGCTAGCAAAGAGAGAGAGAGTAACGTAAGTGTTTAATGAAAATTCTTAGGGATTTTTGTAAAAAAATATCACATTTAACTAAAAAAATCACTGCTAACAGCAGAATAACGTTTCGTTTTACGTTCTCGGGGCATAATCGTGAAGCGTCTCAAAATACATTATAACTCACCTAAAACCAAATAATATATAGTGTCCGGTGCGTACTCGCTGCCATTGGGTTTCCGGACTTCCTTGACGAACAGACATAACGAATAGTTAAGTTCATCTGCCGTCAGTTGAAGTATTTCAGACTTAAAAGGTTTTCTTCTAATAGAACTTTTCTCGATTTCAGCGTTCTTTGTCATCACCCATTGTTTCCACGCGTTCACGCCAAATGTATACTGAAAATATGCATTTTGTATAAGAAACCATTCATCATATAAATTACCTTTTTCGAAAGAAAATTAATTCGAGTTTGTCTAATTTTATAAGACAGAAAAGAAAAATTTATTAAACTAAGATTTTTCATACAAATACTTTACAGATGTTATGTTATAGTTGGTATAACTAAAATACAATACAAAAATTTGTTTACTAGTTTGTTTTTTCAG